CTGGAATTCCTGGCCTCGAGCAGTCCTCCCACCTCGGCCTCCCAGAGTGCTAGGATTACAGGCCTGAGCCACCACACCAGACCTGACAGCTCAATCTTTGAGAGATTCTAACAGAGAGCCCGGGGCAGGCTCAGCCCTAGGATGCCCGAACCACTCCCTTGGTGGCTGTTGGCTGAGCTCAAGCCTGAGCACCTCCAGCCCGCTCCCAGGCAGGCCGTCCTGGGGACCCCACCCTGAGCACGCCTTGGTCTGCAGTGGACGAAAGAGCCCCCCTGGAGCCAGAGGCTGCAGCCTGCAGGGGACGGCCCAGCGTCTCGTGGTGAGTCCTCAAATTGCAATGCACTGATCAGTGTTCGCCCTGCGACACTGAGTAAGACACCATTTATCTCAAGATTAGCTGAAGCAGGAAGCTCTGCTGACCCTCTTACATGAGACAGGCTTTAGCCTGCATGGTGCAATCTGGGGGTCCCTGTGCTCTCCCCTCCACTGCACCCAGGCACCCCTGAGACGCGGGCCCCCCTTCTCTGACGCCTTCTGACAAAAACCTTCCAGCTCGTCAGAGACGACAAAACACTGGCCACTTTGTCGGTCTGTCTTCCTGGGTCAATCTTCCCATTTGGCTTTTTTTTTTTTAGACAGAGTCTCGCTTTCTTGCCTAGGCTAGAGTGCCCTGGCGTCAGCTTAGCTCACAGCAACCTCAATCTCCTGGGCTCAAGCAATCCTCCTGCCTCAGCCTCCCGAGTAGCAGGGACTACAGGCATGCGCCACCATGCCCGGCTAATTTTTTTTCTATATATATTACTTGGCCAATTAATTTCTTTCTATTTATAGTAGAGACGGGGTCTCGCTCTTGCTCAGGCTGGTTTCGACTCCTGGCAGCTCAAACGATCTCCTGCCTCGGCCTCCCAGAGAGCTAGGATTACAGGCATGAGCCACCACGCCCGGCCTCATTTGGCTTTTAATAAACCTTTACAAAAATGACAGATTATTTCTGCCCCAACAGCCTTCGTTTCAGTGGACAATCTCAAGTCCAGCGTCGGCAGAAGCAAAGCAAAGGGCAGAATTCGCACAGGGCCCTCACGGTGGCAGAAAAGAGGTGGCTGCAACCAGGACCCAGGGCAAGCCGGAGTGTAACCCGCTTCCCATAAGAGACAAAGCGGGGCTTCCGAAGAAATCTCCTCCACTGAGCTAATCCAGGGGCGTGCGGGCAGGTTGGGGGTCCCCACTGAAGTAGGAGTCGCTGCAACTGCCCGAAGGATGCCCCACGGCCAGGAGTCCCAGCAGGGCCACATTCTATGGAGCAGAGCCCCAGCAGTCACCCTGCTGAAAGAGGTCTGGGCCGGAAGGACGTCCCACTGAGAGAAGTCCCACAGGGTCATCCCACCAGGCCTCATTTGCAACCCCTCCCTCTCCCTGCCGGCTGTGAGCTCTGAGCCAGGGGCAGGGGCAGGGCGAGGCCGAGATAAGGTGAGCTGAGCCCTGCAGTGGGCTGAGCCTGTCAGGATAACAGGCACCTGCCCGGAGACCCAGCACCCACACCCGGGCCTAAAGGGACCCTCAGAAGGGTGAGTCTCAGGGTCCGTGGCAGGAAAGTGTGTCTGGAGTGGCCGCAGCTCCGCAGAGCGCCCTGTAGGGCCTGTGTGTTTTCCTGGCCTGGCCTGTTTGTGGGGAGGGCAGATCCAGGCTCCGGGACCAGGCTCTGGCTGGACCACCGGGCTGCGGAAGGGTGCAGGGGTGGGGAGGTCCTGGCCCACTGACAAGGGCCTCTTCTCCTGCCCGCTGTGGTTTCCAGCAAGTCAGGCCGAGTAGCAGCTGTTCCATGTAAGGTTCTTCAGTGTTGGCGAAAAGAAAAGACAGACAGAGCGCCCGGCGGGGGGGGGGAGGGGCAGGGGGCAAACAACGTGGCTTTTTTTTTTTTTTTTTTGAGACAGAGTCTCACTCTCTTGCCTGGGCTAAAGTGCCGTGGCGTCAGCCTCGCTCACAGCAACCTCAAACTCCTGGGCTCAAGCGATCCTCCTGGCCTCAGCCTCGGAGTAGCGGACTACAGGCATGCGCCACCATGCCTGGCTACTTTTTTCATATACATATTTTTAGTTGTCCAGCTAAAAATTTCTTTTTCTTTCTTTCTTTCTTTCTTTCTTTCTTTCTTTCTTTCTTTCTTTCTTTCTTTCTTTCTTTCTTTCTTTCTTTCTTTCTTTTAGTGGAGACGGGGTCTTGCTCTCAGGCTGGTCTTGAAATCCTGAGCTAAAGCGATCCTCCCATGTCGGCCTCCCAGAGTGCTAGGATAACAGGCGTGAGCCTCCACACCCGGCCCAACGTGGCTTCATTCAGCACTCCCGGATGAGGTTCTGGGGTCCCAAGAGAGGGGGAGGCCCAGAAGTCACCTCTGTTTGAAGGGGGTGAGGCCTTTTATACCGTGTGGGCCGGGCTAGGGACTTTTGGTGTGAAGAGCTGGGATTTTCCACTGTGACCTTCGGCGGTTTAGGAGGGGCTGGTGGTATTTGGAGGAATCCGGGAGCCAAAACTGTCTTATCCGGGTGGACATCTGGGTGTGGGTGTTCTCAGCAGGGTCTGCTCTCCTGAGCCTTTTCTTTTCTTTCTTTCTTTCTTTTTTTTTGATCTAGGGAGAGGAGGGGGCCCGCCACCAGCCTCACATTCGGAAGCTGTCCCGGCCACCGGCTGGCCACGGTGTCCCACGCTGGGGCGAGGGCCTGACTGCTCTGCTCACCCCGGGCTCAGCCCTTGACATCCCCTTCAGAGGGATGAGGACTTCTGTTTCCCAATTAGAGAAAAGTCTCAAAAAATATTCCTGGGGAGACACGTTCCTGGGGCAGGGCTGGGGGGCAAACGGGGGACCCCCACCCACATGGGGTCGTTGAGAGGAAGTGTGGGTGGTGAGGTGGGGCCTCGCTGGGGCCACCATTCCGGGGGGAGGCGCGTCCATTCCTGGAGCAGACGGGGCAGAGGGAGAGCTTGGGTGAGAGAGGCGCTGGGTTTACAACCAGCGCTGCTTGCTTGGCGCGCGGGGCTCAGGGGGGCCTCGGTCCGTGAGAATCCACGCACTTCACTGCGCACTTCCGAGGACGGTGGGGTGGCTGCGGACTTTCTTCCTTCTGGAACATCAGGCAGAAGTGTGGCTCCCACGTATGAAAGTGAGGGGTGGGGCGGCAGGGGGCGGAGGGGCTGCAGGGGCACCTGGGAATGAGGTGCTGGTGCCCCCCACCCTCTACCCCCAACCCCGGCCTGAGCTGCACTCACTCCCCACCCCGCACCGCCCGGAGCAGGAAAGGCCAACACGGACACACCCCTCGCTTTGCACCCTGTACCTCCAGGGCTGACAAACACAAGACACTGGGGACACAGAGAGCATTGTAGCCGCTCAGCTGTTGAGAGTGGTCACAAGAAGACCTTGCAAAGAGCAGCATCGATAAGAACTGAAGACGCTGGAAAGACGGTGATTTGCGAAAACTTTCCAGAGATGCACTGACGCTCTCAGGCCTGAGCGCACTTGAGCCAATCGTTTCGCGGAGACAGAATCTCGAAGAACATTAAATCGGTTCTGGGCACGTGAATACCGGGTCAGGTTTCCCTCATTTGGGTAGAATACGCGCGCATTCTACGGAAGCCGGCAGACACCTGCTGAATGCAAAGTGAGCTGAGCACAAAGCACAGGGTGGCACGGCTCGCCAGCGCCTGCCTGCGGCCTGGGGCCGTCCCCGGAGCAAGCTCGGGCTGTCGTCCCAACGCCGGTGCTGGGCGAGCCGTCACTGCACCCACGCCGGACCGGTCTCGCCACTCGCAGGCGTCCCGCTGCCGGGCGGCAGACCGTCTTCTACACATTTGTGTTTTAGCTTCGTGCGACGTTTTCTCTGTGGACCACGAGGACGGGTGCCGCGTGAGCTCCGGCGACCGTCCGGCACGGTGAGGGACTCGGCGTGGGCGTTCGGTTCGCGGCCGACACGTGAACGGGTCAGACGCTCAGCTTCCAGAGAACGGAGGAGGCGTGGCGTGCAGGCAGCGGGAGGAAGCCTGCTTGGACACAGCTCAGCACACCGGGCTGGGCGGGCACGAGGACAGATGGGAGAAGGCGCCGGGGGTGAAGGCTGGAGCCGCCGTCCCCTTCTCCAAGCCCTTGTTTCCGTGAGATTTCACGGCACGGCGAGAGGCGTCCAGCAGCTGTGCGCGCCAGCTCCGGGCCCCGGACCCACCCAGTTCCACACTCCATCATTATCCGAACACGCCGGGTAAGAAAAACACAGGATACTGGGGATTCCTTGGGAAAGCATTTGGGCCCATTACTTGGGCCCATTTGCCCGAGAAGGGCCCCGTCCGTGCTCGAGGGTGCAGACCGCTGTTTGGGATCGGAGGCCAAGTGACACAGTTGGGTGCGTGGCCACGTCCAGGCCAATCAGAGACATTCAGAGATCTCGCTACAGAGCTTCCCGGGCTCCTCGCCGGGGGAGGGCTGGACGCAGAGCTCACAGCCGGCCACGGGCAGACTGTTCCGGGAGGCCCCGCGCTGTGAGCACAGAACTCTCACTGCCCTTGTGAGTCACAATCCTTCTCGGTTCTCAGACGCGTCATCAACTTGGTTTTCTCCCCAGCCGAGCCGGCGTCAGCCCCACTCCCTGCCTTGCCCTCCTGGCCTTCACCCGCGCACAGGGGCTGGGTCAAGAGGGATGAACAGGTGCGTGGCCTCCTGCCCCGGGGAGGGCAGCTGATGGCCCAGGGCAGAGCACTGTGTCCCGTCACGCTGCCTGCCACTGAGGCCGGTCCCGGAGCTGTGGCCGGGGCCGAGGGCAGGGGCCCTGGCTTGTTGGTCCCATGTGTCCCCTGTGTCCAGTGTGCGGAGCTGGGGGAGCGTTTGCTGTTGCTGAAGCCACCCTGTCGCTGTCCGCCAGGGTCACCGGGCGTCCCAGCCACACTTCTTGCCGCTTCCCAGCAGGTCCATCAGCAGGTCAGGCCAAGGAGCTGCCCAGCCAGTGGGCGGCAAGCTCGAGCCCGAGGGGCCAATCGAGCACCTGGGCTCGCAGCCCTGTGCCCGCGCGCACCGCGCTGGCGGCCGTGGGCTCCAGGGAGGCCTGGAAGCGAAGATCGATCTGAAAGGCAGGACCAGGGCGGTGTGAGTGCGCCTGAGCAGCCGCAGGGCCTCCTGGAGGCAGCCTCTGAGGCCAGAGCTGTGGAGACCACGGGTGGCCGAGTGCCCGAGGGCAGCCCAGGGGGAACAGGTTAACCTTGAACATGGGCTGCCCGGAAATAAGTGCCTGTTTTAGTTTAGTTTTTAGAGTTCTTTATAAGAAAATCTCTTTTTTTTTTTGAGACAGAGTCTCACTCTGTTGCTCAGGCTCAGTGCCGTGGTATCCCAGCTCACAGCAGTCGTCGAGACGTCCTGGGCCTCAAGTGGTGTCCTCCTGCCTCCAGAGCCTCCGGTAGCAGATACTCAGCAAACGCCCGAGCTAAATGTACTCTAAGCATGGCAATACCGTATTATATACTTTTTTATTTTTTATTTGTCCAGTTAATTTCTTTCTTTCTTTTTTTTTTTTAGTAGAGTTGGGGTCTTGCTCTTGCTCATGCTAATCTCAAACTCCTGAGCTCAAATGATCCACCCACCTCAGCCTCCCAGAGTGCTAGGATTACAGGCATGAGCTACCTCGCCAGGCCAGAAAATCTCTTTATAAAAGTATATTTCCCTTCAAAATTTTTTATTCCCTTTAAAATTAGATGCCCTTCCTAGAATTATAAAAATAACCCGTGTGCTACAGGGTAGTCAAATTAAAAGGTGCCATGTGCCCCTTTCCGTCCCCCAAATCGCTAGCATCCCAGAGGAGAAGAGTTCACTGTGAGCAGCGCGTGGGTGGCCAGATGGCCGTACTATTGGCTGCCATATGTGCGATGCTGTGCGACTACGACGCATCGTGTATCCACCTTTACTATGTCTTATATACATACACACACGAATAGCATTTTCCATAAAAGTGAGCTCATGTACTTTTACTTCTCTAAAAAAGCAGTGACTTTCGATCCTGGTCTCTCTGAAGTGCCCTCACTGGGAGATCATGCTCGGGAATACTTTCCCTAGATCTGCCACCTACAGCACCGGCGGCAGCGGGCCAACCCCTAGTTCCCAAAGCTGACGCGCGACAGGAGTTGTTCCCTCGAGCCACACCAGTCTGCCGAGACTGGCTCCGCACTAGGCCCGGCTTCCCACACACGCGCGGCGGCAAACCTGCGTGTTTGTGCAATCCGGCTGGGACCCGGGCGCGCGCCAGGGAGTTGAGCCCTTTGCTCTTTCTGGTCCCGCTCACACTGGCCGGGAGCAGACCGGGAAGACGGTCATCCCTGCTCTGCCGTCGTCTATCCAGGTCTGAGAACGCTCCATTAGCGTACTGGCCAGCGGCTGCGTCGGGCAGGAGAACACGGACGTCATGTACAAGCCACACACAGGGACGGCGCCGTCTACTAGTGGCGCGGGGACGGAGTTCACATTTTACGGATGTTTGTGTGACGGGAGCAAAGGTGCAAAGTGATCTCTGGAGGTTTGCCAGTGCAGTCTAGCACCACGGCGGCTTTGTCTGCACAGACAAAACACCTGGGAAGCTCCAGCGAGGTCGCCACGGCCGGCCCCGCGTGCGGGCTCCGTGGACAAACGCCTTCCTGGCCCTCGGCCACCCGGATCTCAGCCCGGACGTCCTCAGCAACTCTCAGCGCCGCCGGGCTGGGTCTGACTCCGCCCAAGCGCCGCTCCCGTTTCCTGAGCTGCGTGGAGAGCCGGGCTCTGGGTCTCTGTGGAGGGAAACTCTGTCTCCGCGGGTATCTGTCTGCAGGGCCGCTGCTCTGCCGGCCAGCGGTGCTGTTTGTTCTGCCGCCCCGGTGCGGGAGCCGGGTCACGTGTGTGCCCCGCACTCTCTGCCTCATGACTGCCTTACCCTCAGCGCAGCACCCTCCACCGTCGAACTCATCCGAGTTCTCTCTTTGCCCAGCTGTTTATTATCTGTTTCCTCCACCGGAATGTAGCACCTTTGAGAGCGGGGACCCCTGGCCCTTTCATCAGTGTGGAAGCCCCAGTAGCTGTGATGGTATCTGGCACAGGGCAGACCCCAAAAGTTGTTGTGGAAGGGTTAGCAAAGTAGGGTCTATATCTAAGGCAGCAGAAAGCTCCTTGGAAAGGGAAAAGGGACTGTGCACTAAGAAAAGTGTATTTGTGCGTGTGTGTCCCTGCATTTGCGTGCGTGTGCATGTGTGCATATATGTGCATGTGTGCATGTGTGTGCAAGTCCATGTACACACGTGTGCTCCATGAGAGCAGGGCAGCCCAGACTGCCCGTGCGCTGACTCACAGCGTCCCTGCACTGAAGAGGGGATTGAAGCGTGTAAGCCGCAGACCTGCCAATCCCCCACCCTGGCGTGGGATGAGGAGCCTCGCCCCTGTCTCAGCCACTGGTCAGTGCCCTGCGGACCCCTCTGGGTTGGGCTGTTTAGTCCCATGTGTGTGCTGAGGACCCCAGAGGGAAGGAAAGACCCAGAGTCCCAGGAAGGCAAGGGCACGTCAGGGCGACTTGGAGGGCTGATACGACCCAGAAACCGTGTGAGGATGAGAGTGTGTTCCGCTGAGTTGGCGCAAGGCGGGCTCTGCCCTCCCTGGTGAGCCGCGGAGATCGGCCGTGGGCTCACACTTACCCCAGCGCCTTCCTGGGCTGTGCCTCAGCCAAGGAAGACCCAGTGCAGGTGACCCCTCTCAGCTCGGGGTCTCTCCAGCCAGGGCCCAGCTGGGTCATCAGCCCGTTCCGAGAGTTTGGATGCTCTGGAATGTTTGCTAACAGAAAACACTTTCTCAAGCCATAGTTGCACTAATGCAAATTGCTCTTCCTTTAAACACACACACACATACACACACACACACACACGCACACGCATGCACACACACACAGAGTATCGAGCCCATTTATTTCCAAAGTGTGAGAATTCCTACAGCGGACAATTTGTTCTAGTCTTTATATATACAGTTTTCATCTTTATGTAGATAAAAACCTTCCTAATGAACAAGGCACATTTGAATGTTTGGTGCTGCTTCGATTCAAGATTCCAGATTTAAATGTCAAGAGAATTGACATTAATTTGCTCACCTGAGTACTTTCTTTAAAAGAGCAAACCCCTGATTACACTTCCCTTAAGTTAAAAGCCATCTTCAGCGTCTCTGCAGGAAGTTTACTGATCGGAAATGTGTTTCTGTCACTCTACACACCTCGTGTAATTACTAGTTAAGAGAGGTAGCAGCATAAAGTCTCATAGGTGTCCCATAATGTTGCTAGACGCGTGTAGAGCCTCGGCCATGCCAAGGGTTGACACGACGAACTCGCGGTCTGTTCTCGGTATATCATTGTAGGTCTTCATATTCAGCGCCGTTTTGTGTGATTCATTATACGTCGGTGTTAAGCTAGATAAAGGCGCACATCAGTACATGCAAAGCATGTATATATGGAGATGGGAGGCAATAATCTTTTCTGCTCAAGCTGATAGGTTTAAGATGTTAATTTAAGGTGTTGAAATGACTACTGGTACTGGATACGTAATGCCCATTACGGCTTCTGTGTCTCAGACTAGTGGAGGTTCCCCAGGGCGCCATCGGTTGGTATCGGGGGTGTGTTGTGTTCGGTGCTCAAAGGCTGTTGATGTGTGACCGGCTGTATAGAAGAGCTCTTTAAGACTCTGGCGCAGCGTAGGTTATGTAGGCGATAGATATTGACCGATTGCAGCATATGTCGCCTTCCTTACCAAGAACCGCTAACTGTCTGGGCATGTTTTAACGGGAGAATGTGAAGCTCTGGGTGAGGCCCACATGGTAGGAGTCAGCGAGTGTGGCTTGAATTGAGGGCGCAGGTGTGTCTTGCATCTTGCTGTGAATGGGTTACAAAAAAGTTCGAGAAGGAGGGGAAGGGACAAGGTGTGTTCTGTCTACTGAGACCTACGCTCGGAAGGCAATGCTTTGCCCTTGGAAGCTAACTGCATTCTTGGTGAGGATGGTGGGTTCACATTCTCAGGGCGGGTGAGAGACTGGCGAGGAGCAGTGAGCTCTTCTTTGATTAGAGTTCTACAATATATCAACCGCCATTAAGGAAAAGGCCGAGTAGTGCAAACGCCACGAAGGAGCCACTGCTAGCATCATTGCACCATTCGCTATGTCTGTTTTTCATTTTATCTTCTGTGAGCAGGACGATCGCCTTCTGCGAATGGCGGCTCAGAGAGGCGAGATGAGCGTCGGGGTTTAGCTGCACAGAACCTGCGGAATGACGTGTGTCTTAGAAGCTGGCCTCCCTAGGCTGCAGGAATCCCGCCTTCGGCGCTCTAGCTCGGCGGCATGGCAGCATGCGCACCGTACGTACATAGAGGACAGGCAATGCATTTAATTGTCTAGTTGGGTAATTCAGGAATAAGTGGAGATGTGGACTTGCAGTAATACTGAAGCAACGCGGGGCTTGATCGCGTAGGAGAGACGACACCCTGCCCTCCAGGTGTCCTGTTTTGGAAAAGGCAGGCCTGGTATCCTAGAACCACAGCCTGGGGATGCCCAAGGCAGCAGGATACAGGATGGTGGGGACCCTTGCCAAATCCAGGAAACAATGCACAAAAGCACTAAAATATAAAGTTCCTTCTGGTCTTCTCTCTCCAGCTGGTATTGTTGCTATTCATCTACTGAAAGTCATTTCTAAAGAAGGAAATTAAAAATTATTAGTAACTTTTTTGTACATGCCACTTTAAATGCAAGTATAGGAACATTTATCTTATTTGAATGTTCAACGGAAAAGCCAACTCTTAAATGAATTTAAGAGATTTATCTGAGCCAATTGAGGACTGACGAGCCACTGCAAGAGGCCTTAGAGGTGGATCGCTGTGGATGGGTTGACTTTGGTTTGTCATTTCGGGAGACGGGGTTACAGTAAGTCATCATCAATACGTGTGGGGTTACATGGGTTGGCCGAATGGTGGGCCATCTCGAAAGGGCAGGTTACGGGTTATAGGTGGGTTTAAGGTTCTTTGGCTTGTATTGGTAAAAACATGGAAGTTTGTCTAGAGGCTATGAAATGTTTTGACAGAAGGACAGTTATCAGAGATAAGCCCTGCATAGATTTGTGTGAAATGGGAGACCTGCAGGTGTGTCTTGCATTACCCCTAGGCTTAATGGGTTATAAAAGAAGTCTCAAGAAGGAGGGGTCATGTAAGGTATGTTTGACCTCCCTCTCCTGGGCAATGTTGATTTTAGGATATCTTTGGCACCAGGGCCCATTTAGTCAGCGGTGGGGTGGGGCCTAAAAAAGATTTAGCTAAAATTTTTAGTACAGAACAATGACCAGTTCTCAGTCTGTGTGTGCAGCGCGTTCGAAACGTCTTGCTTCTCAGAACAGCAATCCCTGCACGGAAACAGGCGACGCGTTCCCACGACTCCTGCCTGCAACCTGCCTCCTCTGTGCGAGCCCTCCCGCCCACGCAGGCCTGGCCCCTAATCCGGTAGGCTGCCGCGCGACGTGTGCTCGGTTCTCGGAGTGCGTGCCTCCTGGTTTTCCGTGGGCTCCACGCCTGGGGCCTGGCGGCGGACGCGGCACTCATGTGCAGACAGGCAGTGTTGCCATCACAGTCAGAGCGTGCGGGCCTGTCCCGCACGGAAGGGCTGTTCCAAGTTCCCGTCTGTCGTAGGGGAGAAGTGCACTTCTTGGTCCGTGGACGGGCGCGGTGACGCTCTGCGGTGGGTGGGAGACGGCACTGGCGAGTGGCGGTTCCGGGCCGCCCATGCGGGGAAGAGAGCGGGGTCGCGGCGTTCCGGGTCCTGCGGCGTATTGTCCGATGTGAGACAGGGTTTCCCCAGAGCCACGCGGCCTTGGGCGTGTGGGTGGCGGTACCTGGCCTGCCGTGGGCCAGAAGCAGCCATGTCCGTTGGTCGCCGGTTCTGCACAGTGTGGGCTGGGAGACAGGGGGCTCTGTACGGCCACGCCACCGGGGTGTGTCGGTTTCGTGTTCCAGTGAGGGGTGGAGTGCCCGCGAGTGCTGGGGCCGCAGCCGGAGTCTGAGGAAAGGGACATGTGTGTGTTGCTCACTTTGGTATGCATTCTGTGTGTGTCGTGCTCAGTGTGGTATGCATCTGTGTGGTGTTGTGTATTGTGTTGGTATGGTCTCACTCTTGCTCAGGCCAGTCTCAAACTCTTGAGCTCAAGAGATCCTCCCGCCTCAGCCTCCCAGAGTGCTAGGATTACAGGCGTGAGCCACTGGGCCGGCCACCATTCAATTTTAAAAACCTCTCTTCACTTAGGTGAAGGGAGGGACTGAGAGGGAGACGGCAGGTGTGGTCAGAACCAGGATCTCAGGACTTAGTTCCCGGTATAAGTGGGGCAGCTGCAGGGGCGGGGAGGGTGTGTCTGGGGCAAGTGACACAGACCTCCCAGGTCTATCTGTGCACGGCGTGAAGCACCTTGGGACATTCAGGCTGGGAAATGTCCTAGAGCCAGTTAGCAAGTCCTCACGGTCGGTTCCGGAAAGTGTAGCAACAGATGACGTGGAGAAGGGCTTCTAAACCCCAGTCACTTGTGGGTAATAGCAGGCCAGACTGAAGTCAACCAAATGCCACCAAAAAAAAAAAAAAGAAGGAAGTCAAAGTTTATTGATTGGTTACAAGGTCAGTGCGAAAAAAATCCATGTTCTGCTAAGTATATTTCTTTAGATATTGCTCCAGCTTGTAGCTTCTCTGAAAGTCCAAGTGTCATCTCGGCGAATCAACATTTATTGGAGATTACTGTGGATCAGGGGCTATTCCAGAGGCTTCCAAACTTATTAGCCTCTTGAACTTTTGCAGTGCTCCTTCTTTGAGAGGAAACTGAGGTTCGGGGAGTAACCTGACCCCTGAGACCACCCAGCTAAGGAGTCACAGGGTTAGGACGTGAACCTGCAGAGCTTACCTGTTCCCATGGCTGCCGGCCACATGCCAAACGCATGGCTAATGCATTTCTCGAGACTGTGTAGTTCTCCCGTCTGTATGCACATGTTAATCCATGTTTAGTTAATATGCAAAACATTATTTTCATGAAACTTTTCACTGGAATCAGCTAAGCGGCAAGAACTCCGTCCCATTCGCCACTGGCCGCACAGCCCAGAGGGGGTGGCATGCTGTCTTGGGCAGTGCGGCCACCGCGAGTGGGGGTGGCCAGGCTGCGGGGTGGCCCTCCAGACCCAAGCGAGACGGGAAGGGCTGCCTTGACAGAGCTCTGCACTCAGCCTGCAGGCACCGAGTTGTACTAACACTAGAATAAAAGGTGATTCTTCTTGCTTATTAGCTGTGAGTTTGGGGAGAGTCGTTTAAAGCTCTATGGCCGCCCTATCCAACCCAGTAGCCACGAGCCACTTGTGCCCATTTAAATTAACTAAATTAACTTTCATTTTAATTAACTAAAATGAGATGCAGTTGTGATTCAGTTGCTCCGATACTCTGGCCTCATTTTCGGTCCTCTGTAGCCACACGTGTCCTGTGGCCACTGCGTTGGATGACATGGATGTAGACCTAAATCGCTAAAGTCTCTTCCATTTTCTGAAGTTCAGTGTCATGCTTTGTAACGGGTCTCAGATTTGTAATGATAACTATCTTAGGATTGCTGTAGTTAACACAAAATGACGCACTTAAAAGTGTTCTACAAGTTGTAAAGCACCGTGCTTAAGGTGGTTTTTTTTTTTTTTTTTAATTATTGCAGTGTTATAAAACCATATCGGCTTTGCAATACTGAGACTTTGGCCCCAGGATCTTATAATCACGTTGGCACTCTTCCAGAAGTTGGACTGTGTATCGTGACGTTGACATTTATGCTTTGCTCTTTAAGACTAAAGTCTACACTCTGCACCACTGACGAATTCTCTTAGCGAGGAAGGTACCATTGTGCACGCATGCATATAAAAACACACAATTTATGTTTCGCCATGAGGGCCAGGTCTGCTAGACAGTAACAGGGAAAGGTAGAATTACAGACCAGCTGGTAAGAGTCTTCATCTTTCGCCCCCCCCCCCCCCAAGAGAGGGGCAATGGCGACGCAGAGCGGGTGAATGAGTAACGGCGCTCCCTGCTCCTCCTGGGCCGGCCGCCGCCACGCTCACTGACCAGCGGCCTTAACGACCAACACAGGTCCAGCTCAGGTGACAGGGAGGATGGGACTTCTCGGGACAGACCGTGTCTCACGAGCACCCCTTGGCTTCTTTTAGGGAGCGACCGATTTGCGCGTCCTCCTGCGGTCAACGGGGACCCGGCATGATGGAAAGGAGTCTGAGGAACGTCCTGGTGGTGTCCTCTGGGTTCCTGCTGCTCTTCACAGCCTACGGGGGACTGCAGAACCTGCAGGTGAGTGTGGGCAGCCGAGACGTCACACCGTCTGGACTTCGGAACGTCTCCGGGCCTCCGGCGATCCTTGTGGTCACAGATGGCGACAAAACGGGATTTCTTAATGCCCACGAGTCCTAGCACTTCCCCCTCGCCCCCCGAAAGCTCCTCTGAAACAAGCGGCGGTCTGTGTGTGCAGTCCTGCCCTGCGGTCCCCACTCCCGTCCCAAGGGGGTCACACACCGGCGTGGCGTGTGTGGCTCTCAGACCAGGAGAGCAAGGGTCTTGGGACCCGTGATTTGATGGGACATGCTTTGCCTTTGGGTGGTCAGAAAGAGACACAAGGAAAACCGTTGTGAATTCTGCGGTTCCATACCCCTGGCTTCGTGGTCAGGGGCAGGGTGGCGCGTTTGTCAGATCTCACTGGACCTTATAGATTCCCGGGCCGCTCGAAGCGAGACCGCCAACTTTGACAAAACCGTCTCTATATATTTTGAGCTTTGCGGTACATTTTCCTCCTCGGTCTCTGAGCCCATGTAGAAGGCTAATAGCATTCACTAAAAGGCTGCGGTACTGGTCACGCGTACCCAGAAGAGGATTTGACGTGTTTTCCCGAGGTAGTTACACGCCAAGTCGGACCTTTAACTGGGAGCAGGACCTCCAGGGCATTCCAGGGATTGGCCAGGAAATGGGACTGTCATCATCCCCCTGGGCACATTCGTCACCCAAGGCCGTGCCCTGGGGGCTAGGCTGTCACATACGAAATAGCCGGTGTGGTCTTGCATGATGTGTCAATCAAGAACAAGAATTAGGCACCTACTGTATGCACAGTATTGAACCAGAGAAGCATGCCCAGGATCAGAGTTTCTGTCCTCACTGTGTGCAAATGCTCTGGAGGCTGGCAAGGAAGGTTACAGCAGCCTTGAGGGGTTTTTTTTGTTTTGTTTTGTTTTTGAGACAAAGTCTCTGTCACCCAGGCTAGAATGCTGTGGCGTCAGCCTAGCTCACAGCAACTTCAAACTCCTGGGCTCAAGCGATCCTCCTGCCTCAGCCTCCTGAGTAGCTGGGACTACAGGCATGCGCCACCATGCCTGGCTAATTTTTTCTATGTATTTTTAGTTGGCCAATTAATTTCTTTCTATTTATAGTAGAGACGGGGTCTGGCTCTTGCTAAGGCTGGTCTCAAACTCCTGACCTTGAGCGATCCTCCCGCCTCGGCCTCCCAGAGTGCTGGGATGAAAGGCGTGAAGCCTTGAGTTTTTAAGTGCGTGTCTGCTTTGGCTGCACTCCCTGTGGTCCTGTTTCTGATTAGACTCCCAGGGACAAAGTGACAGCCGTGGTGACCCTCACGGTCAGCGGGCAGGGGAAGCACAGCCTCCCTTCTTGGCACGACAGGTCACGGCTCCTGGAGTCCGGGCCTCCCCGGGCTGCGCTGTTGCAACAGAGCGTTAGTGTGTGTGGCGCCAGTTCTGTCACGTTGAACCGAGCTCTTGTCGCGTGAGGTTGGCGTGTGCTTTCTGGGAGGAGAGCTTCTCCAGGGCAGGAGCAGCCGGGACACATCCCTTCAGGACACTTGCCCGAGAAGGTCCTGCTGGGCGGCCGGGCTGGCAGTGGGAGGTCAGAGTCCCTAGGAAGCAGCCTGTGGATGTGGCACTGCCCGGTGACCGGCCCCACCTTGGCCTCTGGACTTGGAAGCCAGAGGGAAAGGAGTGGGGAGGGCCCAGAGGCTGCCAGTGTCCCCTCTCTCGGCGGTGACGGCAGATTCCAGGGTACAGACAAAGGTGGGGGACGACCGTTTGCCTCTGTGGCTCCTAGCACCGAGGAGCCTCATTCAGGAATCCCTCGGTGGCATCCGGCAGACGTGCTCCGTGGAGGCTGGCCGCTGTGCAGGGAGGAGGTGGCCGTCTTCCCTCCAGCTCTGCCCACTCCCCCTGGGCCTCAGGCCTGGGAGACTAGCAGTGAGAGAGAGCCACGTGGGGCTCAGGGGCACGAACAGCCCCCACTCACCTGCTCCACCCCCAAGTCCTGGCCACATGGTCTTGCTCGCAGACCCAGGAGACAGAAACGTGCTCCTACCTGGGGTAATTGTCCCTGCTAGTCAGGACTGGCTTAAGCAGAACGGAACACATGGATAGAACAGACATCAGGGACAGCTGCGTCCCAGCCAGCCTGGAGGAGCCCACCTGTCTCCACCAGCCCACCTGCTTGTACCTGGTCGGCTTCCTTCTCCGGCCCCAAGGAAGCACCGCATGCAGGCACAGATTTCCCTCCTCTGAGCTCAGCAAGCCCACCAGGAAGACATGGCCTTGTTCCTGCGAGTCCCTGTCCTGGTCTGGACCAGGTGTCTGCCTGCCAGGACCCCAGGACACTCAGTCACGGCACCTCCTGCAGCCTCTGCTGTGGGCCTCCTACCAACCAGGTGGTCTCAGCTTAGGTCGCCCCAGGCTCCCTGCCCGCGCCCTGGAGCCGAGGTCTGGGCGTCTGCGCACTCCTGGTATCCAGGCCCCTCATCACGGCACGTGCCGCTCAGCCCCCACCGGCAGCCCTGGGCTGTGCATTGCGGGGTGCGGGGACCACATCCACGAGTCACCATGTGCCCCAGCCTCGGGGAGTGCCAGACACAGAAGGCACTGCGTGAATGTTGGTGAAGGAAGAAATCTCTCCTGCCCCTTGGCCTGCTGAAAGCCCCCAGGGCTCCCCGTGGTCTTGGAGAGCCCACGCAGGTCTCCAGGAGAGCGAGGGCCCCTCATGGCCTACCTGCGGCAGACCCTAAAGCCACCTCCTGCCAGAAGCGCTTGGCAGCTGGGGCAGAGGCCACCAAGTGTCCCACACTGTCCCTGGTGCCAACTCGAGCTCTGCAGGGCACTCTCTCCCTCACCTGCGCCTCCCACCCCGCCCTCCCTCCCAGCGGCCTCCACTCTCCCTAGACTCCCCCTCCACTCCCCGTTTCACTGACTCCTCAGCTCCTTGAGGGCAGCTTTAATTTCCCCCGTGTCACTGAGCCCCTAGTAGCACGGGCTTCACGTCCCCTCTGTTGACTGCGTGGAAGCAGTGATGCAAGGGCTCGTGCCAGTAGGTCTTGGGAAGTTCAACGTGCAGGTGTGCTTGTTTCATGCTTGCGTTCTTCCCTTGTTTGTTTTTTAAGACAGAGTCTCACTCTGTCACCCTGGCTAGAGTGCTGTGGCGTCAGCCTCGCTCACAGCAACCTCAAATTCCTGGGCTCAAGCGATCCTCCTGCCTCAGCCTCCCGAGTAGCTGGGACTACAGGCATGTGCCACCATGCCCGGCTAGTTTTTTCTATATATTTGTAGTTGGCCAATTAATTCCTTTCTATTTTTAGTAGAGACGGGGTCTCGCTCTTGCTCAGGCTGGTTTCGAACTCCTGACCTTGAGCGATCCGCCCGCCTCGGCCTCCCAGATCACGCGCACGTTTTGCAGGCCGGCTCTCCCAGCACATGCAAACGCAGGTGTTTGAACGTGTCATGCACACAGAAAAAGACATTTGCTTTTAAAATTTTGCTGCTACCGTGGATATGGCGATCTGTCTTCCTTCTCAGTGGTTTGCGATCAAGTTCCGCTGGACGTGACAAACACACTCTGCCGGATCTGCAGCGGCACCGCGGGGGGCGAAGACCTCCGGACGCAGGGAAACCTGCGCTTTCTGTCAGCACTCGCAGAGGCGGCAAGCTCGTTCAAGTATTTGATGCTCACGAGTATTTAATGCAGAATATTAGGAAAACAAAGGCCTGGGCTGAGCCAACTCTCTACACTCCTGGCAACTTGAGGTATAAGTAGAAATTTCCAGCTAACCCCCCGCTTCAGAGGATAATGTTCAATTTCCAGCTAACCCCCCGCTTCAGAGGATAATGTTCAATTTCCATCTTCCAACCCAATTTCAGAATTTCTATGGGACTCGCCATTCTTGCTCTTAATTGGCTTTAATGAACCAGGAGATATTATGAAGCACCTGCTTTGGGCAAGGCATCGGGAGAGACTTTAAAAAGCAGTGTGTTCCCTGCCCTCAAAGCGATTGCAGCCCAGGTGGGGTGACATTGAGGGTGACCGGGAGATGGGCAGAGGGGCCGTGTTGCTGGTCCAGAGAGAGAAATTCTAAACAAGGTCAAAGAGGAGAGAAGAAAGCTCAGTGGACGACGGCATTTGGGGAGAGCCGTGCGGACCCTCTCCCAGGCGGGAAGACGGGTGCGGCTTGGAGAGAGGGTGAGCGGCACCCGGCACGCCGAAGGGCAGGGGTGAGGGGGGAAGAAGAGGGAGCTGGAGTGGGTGACGCTGCGTGAGCCATGGGTGCGGGCGTCTGGACTCGCCAGTGGACGGGGAAGGGCTGTTCTAGAAGGCGGAACTTCACAGCGAGCTGCAGATCTCTCGCTACAAGACATTCTGTCTTGTTGTCGGGGGGACCAAGTGGGAAGGAATTTTAATAGTGTCAGGGCCCGGACTGTGTCCTCCCTGGGTTGCATGTGCAGAAACCGTGACCGCCAGGACCTCGGCCGTGTCTGTGCGTGGAGATGGGGCCAGGACACAGGTGACACAGTCAGAGCAAGGCTGTTAAGCTGGCCCCACTCCCGGGTGGCTGGTGTCCTCACAAGGAGAGATTAGGATGAAGACCACAGACGGGACCACTCGAGGCCGTCTGCAAGCCCAGGAGGGAGGAGCCGACCCCAGGCCCTGGGTCTTGCTCTCCTGGCCTCTGGCATGCTGAGGACATGGGTCCTGCTGTCTGCGTGACCAGTCTGCGTGACCGGTCCGTGTGACTCATCTGCAGGACCATGTCAGGGCAACCTTGCAGACTGAGCACAGGGCACTGAGATAAGTGGCTTTAGCTCATGGGCCGAGGTCCTGCTCTCCCTCTCACCGGGTGGCGTCCCCGTTCCCACGGGGCTAGTGACACGTCTCTCAGCCGAGACCGGGTGGCGAGTTGGAGGCAGCTCTCGTTTCTGTGTCTGGCCGTTGCTGGCACTAAACAGCGACTACCTGGGAAGGGGACTCTGGCCCCCGTGGGGGAGACCCCACCCGAGCCATCCTCTCCCTGGGGTCCGAGGGGCGAGCGGGCACATGTAGGGGGAGCACACGGATGGGGGGCAGACCCCGCCCTCGCCCCCGGCTTCCTCCTCTCCATCCTCCCCTCTCACATGTGGGACCAGAGGAACAGACGGCGTTGCTGAGCTCTCTGTCACTGCCAGGCCCCACTGCCGCCCCTGCAGTGGCCTGTCCTGGCCGGTCCCCCGCGGTGGCCTGTGCCGGCCAGTCACCAAGATGGCCTGTGCCGGCCAGTCACCAAGATGGCCTGTGCCGGCCGGTTCCCTGCCCGCCCTGTGGCAGCTCAGCTGAGCCATCCGCAGGTGTCCACAGAGAGCGCGGCCACCCCGGCCCAGCGCGGCACCGTCCCCTCCCTGGTGTCGGCTTTGCCTGCGGCCCCCTCCCGCCAGCTGGGCAGCGAGGCCTCTTGCCGGGGGCCCGGGGGACACACAGCGCCCATCCCTCCTGACGGCCAGTCTGTCCCCACAGAGCAGCCTGTACAGCGAGGACGGCCTGGGCATGTCGGCGCTCAGCACGCTGTACGGCACGGTGCTGCTGTCCTCCATGTTCCTGCCGCCGCTGCTCATCCGCAGCCTGGGCTGCAAGTGGACCATCGCCGTCTCCATGTGCGGCTACGTGGCCTTCTCCCTGGGCAACTTCTCCGCCAGCTGGTACGGCCCGGCCCCGCCCCCGGTCCCTCTCAGAGCACACTCTGCCGCCCCAAGTCCCTCACTTCCCTGGTGGGACCACAGGCGGTTTCTGCCCATCTCCCACCGGGACTCCTCTGGCCCCTGCTGGCCCCCCCATACCACCCAGTCCCTATCCCGGGCTCTTCCTGGGATCCGCCCTGGGCCTCAGTTTCCCTCTCCGCACCAGGAGATGTGTCTGGCCCCAGTGATGACAGGGAGACTCTAACGTGATCGCTAACTAGGGTGGGTCTCACAGAGACTTAGCCAGGACGCCACCACTGGGCCAGACGCCGTACCCTCACCCCATCCTCAGAAGGTGGGCACAGCCCGGCTGCCCACAGGGACCCTGTCTGAGGTCCACCTGCTCCCGGCTGGGACAGCTGCACAGAGACCAAGCCCCAGGCCTCCGGGCCGCCTGCCTGTCCCCAGGAGCACTGCCACCAAGCACCCCTGGACTGTCCCCGGACGTGCTGATGACTGGCACACACCCTTCCTTTCCTGCAACCACCCGGTTTTCACAGGACCCCCGTAGAGAGGGCTGAGCCAATCACACGATCAATCACTCTTAACCTGAAGCTGTTAGAAGTACCTAGAACCCACCCACCTCCTCTGTGCTGCTTAGCTCCAGCTTTGCGGTTGCATCCAGATTAGAAAAAAAGCAAAAAACACCTCCCCTGACCTTGAATTTCACTCTCGCCAACCACCCTGAACCAGAAGTGGCCCTGAGCTCGCTCCTGTGTCAGCACCTCACGGGGGACCCACCCATCCAACCTGCCAGCGAGCAGTGACACCTGCGCGGCCAGGTGTGCGGCTTCCTTCTCCCAACCACACGGGGAGGGGGGAGGGGACGCAGGCGCCACGTGTCTCCTGTCGTCCCGCAGGTACACTCTGATCCCCACGTCCATACTGCTGGGGCTCGGGGCGGCCCCGCTGTGGTCTGCCCAGTGCACCTACCTCACCATCGCGGGGAACGCCCGCGCACGGAAGGCGGGCAAGCTCAGCAAGGACGTGGTCAACCAGTACTTCGGCATCTTCTTCCTCATATTCCAGTCGTCCGGCGTGTGGGGCAACCTGATTTCCTCTCTGGTCTTTGGCCAGACCCCCAGTAAAGGTAAAGGGGGGCCCTGCGATTGTCCCCCAGCGCCGGCCGCGGAGGGGTCCCTGGGTCCACCGGCGCACCTGCCTCCATCCCGTAACCTGGGCAGGTGAGCACCCACCTGAGTGGGCGGCCCCACCCGAGTGAGCCTCCACCTGCCCGTGGCCCGGTCACCAGGTCCTGCTCGCCACCGGGCAGTCACGAGGGTCTTAAGGTCCCTGACCACAGTGGCAGGGGAGCCCCGGGAAGGGCATGTGGGGAAACCGCCTGAGGAGTTTGGGTTCATGGAGTCACAGCTATCCTTCCTGCCCTGTCCAAGAACGGCCTTGCCTGGCGAACCTTCCTGCTCGCCTGGCCCACGGACCAGCTGCGTGTCGACCCTTCCCCCGACTCGCATGACTAGCGGACGGGCTGACGCCCCAGTTCGCCCGGCCCTGCCCAGACCGGTTTCGGGCGTGTCTGTTTCGGGACGGCTCCTTGGAGGCCCCTGCTGAGGACTGAAGCCGCGGGCAGCGGAAAGAAACCTCTTCAGTCGTGCAGGGAACCTTCCCCCACGGCCGCCGAGGCCTCCTCCCTTTCCTACACGGCCATCCTTGCTGAGTGCGCCCGAGGAGGGGCCCGCGCGGCCAGAGCCTCATCTCAGCCACGGCGCGGCAAGCCCGCGGCGAAGCTTCCGGCTCCGTGGCCAGGCTGCGAGGGGAGCGGCAGGGAGGATCGGCACTGTCACAGACGAGGGAGGCACCTTGAGGGCCTCGCGGGGCTCCTCCGCCGTTCCACGCCCCCGAGCCCGTGACGGCCGGTGTCCGTCCGCCGCACCCTCGCCAGCCTGGGAGACGCGGGGAGGTTGTGCGTGTGAAGGTCGTGTTGCGAACAAAGACAGCAGACGCTGACCGCTCCTCCCGAGCGCCTGCCGGCTCGGAGCCTTCCGTGGTTCACATTTTGTCTTTTGAACAGACCAGGGAGAGGTCTAAGACATCACCTGCCCACGGTCATGGAACTGGTTACAGGGAAAGAGAACCCAGCATTCTTTTTTTCTTTTGTTTTGAGACAGAGTCTCACTAGTCTCACTCTGTCGCCCGGGCCAGAGTGCCGTGGCCTCAGCCTAGCTCAAACTCCTGGGCTCAAGCCATCCTCCTGCCTCAGCCTCCCGAGTAGCTGGGACTACAGGCATGCGCCACCATGCCCGGCTCATTTTTCTTTTATATATATATTTTTTAGTTGTCCAGCTAATTTCTTTCTATTTTTAGTAGAGACGTGGTCTTGCTCTTGCTCAGGCTGGTTTTCAAACTCCTGACCTTGAGCGATCCTCCCGCCTCGGCCTCCCAGAGAGCTAGGATGACAGGTGCCAGCCACTACACCAGGCCAAGAACCCAGCATTCTTGACACCCAATTTGATGTACTTTCTTTTTGACTAATTTTGAGGAGCTGAGAAATTTTGGTTATGTCTGGAAAGCAATCTAACAAGTAACCAGCGTTTAACCCATGTTTGTTCCTCTCTGAATCTTTGCATAACACTGATGTGCCTCTCTACCTCCCAGCTGAAGCACCTTGAAATCAAGTCTGCAGACCTGTGTGTTGGGGGTAAATGTATTTAGAGACCCTGGTCGTTCAGCCCTGACCTCAGGTGTGCACCCTCCTTTCCACTGGCACGTTCATTCCCCAGGTGCCCGCACCTGTCCGATTATTAACACCTGTCTGATTATTAACACCTGTCCTCTCATATCGCATAGCGCCTATTTGCTCTGAATTCACAGAGGCCATCCCGGAGGAGCAGCTGGCCACCTGCGGGGCCAGAGACTGCCTGATGGCCACCACGCCCAGCAACAGCACCCAGCGCCCCTCCCCGGAGCTCATCTACACCCTGCTGGGCATCTACACCGGTACGTGCCCCACAGCCCGGCCGGAGCCTAGTCCTGAGCAAAGCAAAACCACACCTCCTTCCCGTTATCCGTACAGACAGAGACGCATCCACACCCAGCGCAATTTTCCCTACTGCACCTGAAAAATCCTTGCAAAATGGCTGGGCTGGGTCACAATGGCAGGTGCTTTTCCCTTAATAAAAGTCAACACGGGGGACTGGTGCTGTCTAA